TTGCCGGAATTCAACGGTGAGTCAGCGAGTCTACAGCAAGCTCGCACTGACGACGGGCCCAATATCCCCTCTGAAAGTAAGTGACCAGGTAAGGCGGTCCCATAATAAATTTATTCGACGGCAGGTGATTTGCTGCTTTTCCCCACCCCGGGGTCAGCCGTCCGTCGCAACATTGTAAGCGCGCTCCGCGCAGTAGATCATTCCGAGTCTGCAGACAGAGCGGTTGCTTCCAACGCAACCCCAATAAATCGCTTAAACAGTACCCAAGAGTTTTTCCTTCCTTGCCACCTTCGTACCTCAACATCATCCTCGGGAGTTAAAGTCACGATACCAACAATATTATACTGCCCGCAATTAAACAAAAGTCAAATGTTCAATGTTCGTTTTTTAATACAAAAGCATAACCATCTTTATTGCGATTTTTTTGGTCAATTAAAGCCAAAGATGCACTTGTGGATTCATTATTCCCGACTCCTTTATCTTATTGGCCCTTTAATTCAATTTTCAAGCATGAAATTCGAGCGATAAAATAAGAAATTAAAAGAAGTAGATGTAGGTACAACTTCAAATATTAATTTACCAATGACTATAGCGATAAGAAATCAACTACAATTCTGCCATTCATTTGAATATGTACCATTAGCAGAAAATTCACTTACTAAAACAGATTTGGGAGAACCTGTTAAAAATAATTTTTTTCAATCAATATTTCCAAAAAATGAAAATATAACAAAACTTAAGCGTTTCGAATTACGAAATAAAATATTTATCGATGGTACAGTGTTTGTCGCCGAAATCAATGATGACAGTCCGAAATTCGGTATCGTTAAAAATATTATACATGTAAGGGGTAAAATATATTTTCATATAGTAGAATATAAGACATTTTGTGTTTTTAAATATATAAATATAATTAGTTTTAAATATAATTACTAATTATTTTTAAATATAATTAGTGTCGATTTAGTACCTAATTTTCCGCCATGCTTATATGTACAAAAAGATTATGACGAATTAATAGCCGCTAGGTTTGGTTTGTAAATATTTGTAATTAATTATTTATTTGATTAAATAAAGGAAAAAAATTATTATTTCACAAATCATTACTTTCATTATATATTTCTTATTTTTTTCACCTTATTTCGAAAATTAAATTGACCAGATTCCAGGAAATAACGAAAGCGCGTCGAATGGGATTTTAGGAGGGTTAAATAGCATAATTTGCATCGCGAACGCGGGAAAATCCCGTGTTGCTCTTGGAAATATCGCTAGTGCAGCAATGGTCCGTTTTTCCTATGCTGGCGCTGAGAATTATGCTACTTAACCCTCCTAAAATCCCATACGATGCGTGTCCTTTATTTCCATGACGTATTCGTTTGGGAATATCTCTACATTTTTCTCTCCGTGCAGATTAACGGTGCCACAACACAGTGAGCAGACTCGCGTCTTACTCCTGCCGATAGATATACTACATACTGTACAAGCTTTCACTTTTGTTTTTGCAGAGTTGTTGGTTGACATATCACACATTCACACTCACAGTATACAGCACGATCCACACGATTCGATAAACAGAGGCTCTCACGTAAGATAGGCAGTCAGCGGCAATCGTCTGAGTCGTGTCGATAAGTAGGGGATGTGTAAACACTCGCTGCTGTGCCGATTGGATCGATGTATGATGGAAATCAAACTAACCACGATTGATAGATGAAGACAATTTTTTGACGAAAAAGGTCCCTTGCAAGAGCGATGCGGCTAAAATTTCGCGACAGTGGCCTTGCATAAGGTAGCGTGCACGAGAGGTCTGAAAAAAACGCCTGTGGGCAGAAAACTGAAGCAAAAATCGGCGAAAAGCAAGAGCACGATATAGATGCGTGTGTTCAGACTCACCGATGGAGAGAGAGAGCATCTGAGATGCTCTGCCGCTGTCATACCTGCGTGCTGTTGCTCGAGGAACTTCTCGTCGTCCACAGAAACCAATGGCCTTTCTTGATTTCCTGCCGGAGCCGATTGCTTTTCACCATCGTCCTGCAGAAAATCCAGAGGTCCTGGACGATTTTGTAGATGAGAATGAAGATATGAAAAGCAAATTGCCCAACGGCGAATTTCAAGACGCAAGAATATACGAAGAACCCCAAACGTCTAGTAACGTATGAATACGTATGAGTTGGCTAAGTAGTACTGGTAATTCTGAGTCTCCGGATGACTTAATTAGAAAATTTGCAGATATCCTAAGTAATACCATATCTATTATGCACAAATCTAGCCTAGAAAACGCAATCGCGAAGAAATGCTAGCAAAAAACAACCCATTTTTTACGACAATCCATTGGAATGGTTACATTTTAAAAGAGAATTTGAAAAGTCCACAGAAATAGATGTGTTCCTTGACGCAGAAAACGTCGTGCGTCTAGTTGATTCTTTGAGGGGTGAAGCGAGACACGCTGCCAATATGCTAATCACTTTGAGTGATAGTGCAGTAAATATTATACACACTTTAGAGGCACGTTTTAGTAAAAATAAAGTTATACTAACTAAAATAGTGCAATAGATAAAAGACTTGCCTAGTCTAGATTCGGATAAATTAGATGTGGTTAGTTTTGCGTCAAAACTTAAAACAGGTGTGGATGCGATTTAAGCGCTAAAGCGTGATAATTCTTTGAACAACCCCGATTTTTGTAAGGACGCATTGAGTGAAGTATCAAAGTCTCTATCACAGAATTATGCTCATTATCCACTCGGTTTTCACAATAAGTTGTCTTCTTTAGAAATTATCGCGAATTTTCTCAAAAGAGAGGCAGAAATAGCAGACGAAGCGGACATGATTAAATTGCTCGATGAATGCAACTCGATTCAGTTTTGTAATTCCAATCGTAAGGAACGTTTGGTTAAAGAAAATTGTTTAAATAAAAAAGTAGTTTAAGCAACGAATTCATCCTTATCGGAGATGAATGACGAGAATTGTGAACTTTGTAAGAATGATAATCATTCAATTGTTTTGTGTAAAAATTTTGCGAGTGAAACGACACGAGAGAAATGGAAAATTGCGCGACGTTTCAGGTTTTGTTTCAATTGTTTGGAGACAATCTTTTAATCTCGGCGACTCTATTCCACAGGAATCTTGCCCATTGTTGATTGCGTCGAAGCCAGGATAAAACGGTCGATTAATTGGTCCAAAATACAATCTTTTTTAAAGGTGTTTTCATTGTCGTCTCATCATCGTCAGGTGTCTCAACAGAATGAGCTAAGCGCACACCAAGCGTTGCTGCAAGTAATTCCATTCGGGGGATGGTCGTTTCTTCTGACGGCCCAACTCTTGACTTGCTTTGTACGAAGTGTGTTTGTACTTGTCCTTCAGGATTCTGCACTCTGACGCACAATGCTGCAGCGTATGCATCCTTACTAGCATCATCGAACATATGATAAGTGACGACGTCCTCCGATGATACAAATATCCAGCGACGCATCTTCATTGCACTTCAAAATAAGATAAAAATATCCAGCGACGCTATGACACTTGATCCAACTAAGCTCGAAATTTCTTCTCCACTTCCCCTGGCACAGGCGTGTCCCAGCTCAGCTTTATTTCCACAACTTTTTCAAAATGAGTTTAGGTATCAGCAGAGTCAGCGTAATCCAACCGAGAGGGTCGAATATCTTGTATGTGATCGCTAATATCTCTCTTTTTAACAGCAATTTGCTAGCTTCAGCATCGAAGTTGATATTGAGCGACAGCTGCTCGTCATTTTTATTCCACAATATTTCTAGGATAGAGCTTGAGAAGTGTGGATAAGTTTGGTCGGAAAATTCCCAATCTCTGAGCTTAAATCCTGCTTTCTTCATGACCTCAGTAGCGAATTATTCGAATTTCATTTTTCTTTTACAGTAGAAACGCTGTAACGCAGTTATTGACATAAAATGATTTATTTAGCCTTTTTAAATAATTCACAGTGTCAGGAGCTCAAGTCAGGCATTCAAGTGATATTCAATAGTTGCTCCTACTAAAAATGGGCTGCTGCTTAGTCCGAAGACAACCCTTTGATGACGATAAACACATATCTGTTGTGTATCAGTTTTATCATACCACACACATTTTAAAAAATCTTGCTCTTTTGGGATGACGCTGATTTTCTGAAAAGCTTTAGCTATATCAGCTGTCACACCGATCTCATGTTCTCTGGACCGTACATCGATATTTTCTCAAAGTACGCTTGGACCGCACCGATCAAAAGCAAAACTGGAATAGAAATTGACACGGGCATGAAATTAATTTTAGCTACAGGACGGAAGGTAACGAAACATTTACAGACCGGTCGGGGCAGGAAATTTTTTCACGCACTTAGCAAATTTACTTATTTTCATGATATAGGGTTCGTAATCAACATTTAAATTATTTGTGAAAAATATTTAATTTTTATTATCTCGACTGAGCAACCTAAAAGAACTATAACATCTTAGAGAAGTCTGCTCTGATTTATTTCAATCTCCTAGAGCCTAAAAAACTTCAAAAAGCTATAACGTTCACGAAAAGTTCACTCTTGGCTATTTTTAATACCTGGAGCATGAACAACTCAAAGAAACTGGAGACATAAAATTCGATTTGAATCATGACAGATTTTAATGAAGTTTAATTCACGAATTAATTTGATTCGTGAATTAAAATAAATTCTATTCAAAAATCAAAATTGATTCGCGAATTAAAATAGTTTTAATTCAAAAATTGATTTAAACTTTACAACCCTGCTCCCTAGTAATAAATATAGATAAGATATCCTAAATAAAAAGCAACTTAAAGGAAAAAGTTCAATAGTTGCAAAGTTTTTAAGGCTGAAAAATTGCAAAAGTTGGCAAAAAATCGAAATTATTGGTTGTTAATGACATTATACAAGGATCATACACAGAAATGATATAAGTTTCTGTATACACTAAAAGCTTTATCTTACCTTATTCTGAATGAAAAAAAGACCATTTAGAGTGGGTTTGAAATAAAATAAAATCTCATTTATCTTCAATTTATTTATTATAAAAAAATTTCTGGAATTGTTTAGCAAACTATTTTCTATGGCTCAGTGTCTCCTTACGTTTACTTCATGTTAACCCTGTAAAAATAAATTCGAAGGCTCAAAAAATGCATTTTAAAGTATATAACTTACACATTATGGACAAATTTTCTAATTAAAACTGATATTTGTCAAAAATGAGCTATATTTAAAATTTTCCATGTAATTCATTTTAAAATTTGTTATTTCAAATCGTAGATTAGATTGTTTAGTAGTAACCAGAGCTAATATAACTAAATATGCCTTGCAAATTGCACTAGAATTTGATGTTCCATCATTTAAAGTTTCAGATAAATGGTTACATAATTTTTTCAATCTACATCATCTTGAGAAGGTCGACCACATTGTTCAAATCAGAAGGCTCAGAAGTAATTAAAAAAGTGGTCGCCTGTAATATATTTATATATAGCATCATCTCAAGTTACAGTCGACCAAAAAATGCGTCATCTATTTATGTGCCTTTAACCGGATATGAAAGTGCTCGTGTAACGTATATTCTCGCGATTCGTCAAGACAGAATGAAAGAGACACCAATGCTCATCAGTAAAGGATCGAAAGAAAAAATTTCAACAGTTGAGGGAATTCATGTTATCGAAATATCAAAAGACGAGGCCACGCAAGGCGTTCTGAGGAAATGCATATGGGCAAAGCCATATCAGACGTGAGGGGTCACAAAATAAAATTAAAACTAAGTATATACTTTTAAAGAGTTCATTGAAAAATGAAAATTCTGAGAATTTCAGCCCTATAAGTCTATCCGTCATGGATTTTCGGGGACTCAAAGTTGGAATTTCATTTTCAGTCAAAAAACATGGGTTTTCTCTCATTTTCCTTGATTTTTTACTCATATCATGCTCAATAATGAAGTCTGTTTGTCTGACGATGACCAAAATTTATCTGAAGGTGTATCTTGATGTATCGATGAACATACAGGCAAACCCCGGTATTAACGGGGGTTCGGTTCTAAAAAAGTACCACGAATACCGAATCCGCGAATACAGAAGCCTTGTTCTTATGGGAAAAGGGGGGTTCGGTTCCTCATTCGGCTGAAATGTCAATGAACGTGTTAGTAAAAATTTTTTTGTCTTGGATTCTAAAATAGGTAATAAGCATCTAAAATTTAAGTTTTTTTCACCCAATTCAGCACTTTATTATTCCTCTTCTTTACACTGGTAACCGATACTTTTTCCATGGGACAAGACATATTTAAAAAAAAATTCAAAACATTTCGATGTGTATTTTTTTTAATTTATGCGCGAAACAAGGTTAACTTTGAGCGAAGAAACCGCGAATACGAAAACAAAATATCACGTATACTGATATGAGGTCACAAACAGGAGTAAGGTAAATGACCCTATTTTCGATCAATAATTAATATTAACAACTTAATAATAAGTAAGAAATTTTTTTTTTAATAATTGGCTGAATGAATCGAAGATCTTCAACAGAAATACATTATTCAAATCAGATATCAAGTTTCAATCCTACATAAAAAATTGATTTGAATTTGATCGAAATTAGAACCTAACTGATCGAATATTCGATCGAATATACCGCGAATACAGAAAATCGCGAATACGGAATCTGCGAATAACGGGAGTTGCCTGTATTACAATATTGGCCTAATCGGTAAATACGAATATATTTATTTTTTTAAATTTATACTTTATTACAATATTAATGGGTTTGAGGTTATAAATATGATTTTTGACAACAAATATGAATTCCTCATCAAATTTTACATCAACAATCATGTTTCAATAATTTTTTCATATTCACCCTTAGGAAGCAGAATAAAATTAAAAAAAAAATTCCAACTTTTAGTCCCTGAAGATCTATGACGGATGGACCTATAGGGTTGAAATTTTCAGAATTTTCATTTTTCAATGGAATCATTACATACTTAGTTTTAGATTCATTTTTTGACCTCTCACGCTTGACATGGCTTTGCCCATATGCTCAGTATTACCACTTCTTTCTGGAGGTAAAAAAGAGGTATGATTGTGTGGGACTCAGCAAACACGCATCGGGCTAAATGTATGAAAGATTTTCTGTCCTCTAAAACACAAAAGTGACCAAAAAAGGATAACCATCACAAGTGAAACTTCTATAAATTAAGTTCAAACATCAATGTATGTAAAAAAGTAGAGTAAGTAAATCGAAAAGTAAAAAAAAATAAAAGTTCAATTGAAAAGTAAGTAAATCCAAAAACGTCAAAAAGTAAAGTAAGTAAATCCATAAGTAAAAGAAATTAAAGTTCAATTGAAAAAAGGAAGTTAATCCAAAAAAGTCAAAAGAAATCGAAAGAACAAAAAAAAAGTTCAAACTAGTCACAATGTAATTGAAAAAAAAACCAAAATTCAAAATCGAGAAACGTTTAAGAAAATTCCAAAATGAAAATTCAATCGAAGAAAAGTACTTTGAAGTTTCACTCCTGGTGCTAATTCATGTACATTGATTCTATAGAATCTAACCAACGTAATCAGGTTAGGATAAATGAACATTCAATCATATAGGTTTTCGTATGTGAACTCTTAGTTTCATGATAATTATTATATTTTCAATACTGAAATATTGTATTCTTATTTAACCATTAGGATTATGAAATAATTGAATTAGACGCTTCATTTTCAATAAAAACCACTATTCGGCCAAAAGTAATTCTAATTTTCGAACCCCCCCCCACCTCCATGCTATACTCATGAAAGAGTACATCGACTATATTCGGCATAAGATTCCCCACAGCTAATTGCAGCGGTGTCCGAACCAACTTGTCCCGGGCGTCGACCTGAACCGTCCGCCAAGTTCGGATTGGCGCCACTTTTCAGAAGTGATTAGATCACCTAATCGTGTCCGCCGTATAGAGCCAAGTTAAGCGGCGAATTGCCTTGTCGAGTGTGACAATCGGGATCTTGCCCTAATTCAACTAGCTTACAACTAATAAGGAGACCTTCTCACCTTCGGGTCATGGATTTGGCCCAAACTTTTTCTGGTAATTCAGGACAGTTAGAAAATGTCCTGTTATGTTAGGTTTTGTGAATATGCCCTAGAAACGTTAGATAAAAAATAAACGTTAAAATAATGAAAATAAGCATATAACGCGCAATAAATATTCATTTACTACCCTTAAACTATTTTGGTTACTCATTTTAGACACCTGGTTGTTGAAAACATTACATTTCATTGTTAAGAAGTTGTTGGATCTCACTCATGACCCAAAACATTGCAATATTGTTAAATTATGACATGATAAACGTTTAATTTCAATACTTATGGCCTTAAACGCTTCAAATTATTATTATTTTAATACAAGCACTGGAGATCCAAAAAGTTCTTCTCAAAACACTTTTCACTGACTAATTTAACAAGTACCTACGCCAAGTTGAATTTTATCAATGATGTGATGTAATTTTTAAAATGACTTACATTAATTTATTTATCTCGACTTTACAAACATACACTAAAACTGGCTTCCTCTTGGCTTGATGATGCCTCTCTCGTACGCTGCCCCGTACGATGGAGAAAATCAATGATCTTCAAAAGAGGAGTTGGAATCACTTAAGCACCTCGCGTAGCAAAAAGTTTAATTTCCAAAAACTACTATTTATACTTTAACTCTTTAAGGATGATTCTAGTATAACTTTTGAACTTTGACTTTAGACTCTCCGATGTACGACACTTGCACGAGTTCTTTACGGGTCAGCTGTCTCTGAATAACAAGGCCGTTTTCTTGGGAACGCGGCCTATTTATCCGAAAAGGCTCATCACCTTTCACTCCTAACTTCTTACCCGATCCTTTCTAATTCTAATTTTATCGCAAGACATGAGATAAATCTCGATCATTTGATCCATCAAACTGCATATAGATCTTATCAGACAATGTGAAAAGTCGGGTGCATGACAGCGACGTTTATTACCGAGTGTTCTGGTCCATTTGAATGAAGTATGATAAAAATAAGATCTTTATTAGAATTTACAAGCGTTCCATGTGGTCTGCTTATTTGATCAGCTGGCCACATGGCCCCATATCAGTTAATACACTCGGCAACAAAATTATCGCAACAAAAAAATTCATCGGAATTTTGTCGATTTTCAAATGCTTCTATCTTGGGCTAGATTTATCGTATCGACACGCTTTTTTTTTAATTTCTTGGAAATTTTTTCTTCTTTAAATCCATATAAATTAAGATAAGATTTGAGTTAATGTTGAGTTACCAGTAGTATTTGAGCGTGACCCTAAAAATTACTGAAAAAAAATGACTGTTTGAACGTATACCAGTACCACAGTGATTTTTTTATCGAAATCTAACATACACCATCGTAAAGTGCTCTTTTTAACGAGTAATTTAAAAAAAAAAAGACCTCTCTACGATTTTTTTAACGCCCTGCAGGTCGATTTGAAGATACCATTTAAAGTACGTAAAATCCCCCGTTTACCTGAAATCAAGACGATTTTCTGGGCATTTTGCGTACATAAACCGTACCTTCAAATCGACCTACAGGGCGTTAAAAAAATCGTAGAGAGGTCTTTTTTTTTTTAAATTACTCGTTAAAAAGAGCACTTTGCGATAGTGTATGTTAGATTTCGATAAAAAAATCACTGTGGTACTGGTATACGTTCAAACAGTCATTTTTTTTCAGTAATTTTTAGGGTCACGCTCAAATACTACTAGTAACTCAACATTAACTCAAATCTTATCTTAATTTATATGGATTTAAAGAGGACAAAATTTCCAAGAAATTAAAAAAAAAAGCGTGTCGATACGATAAATCTAGCCCAAGATAGAAGCATTTGAAAATCGACAAAATTTCGATGAATTTTTTTGTTGCGATAATTTTGTTGCCGAGTGTATATTTAATTTAGTTGATTTTATTTTAGCGTAATAAAGTTATACTCTTAGGCTTTAAAGTAAGTTTATGGTGCGGAGTCAAGTTTTCTCGCTAACAGACTAAGTTTATCGGAAGACTGCCATGCCTAGTGTTTCTCACACTATATTTTATTTTTCGAAAAACAGAGATTTATTACAGTCTAATGGAATCTTTGAATCGTAGCAATACAAATTTGTCCTGAACATGTGTGCTACCGTAAATCGTTACATTACGCGGAAATATTTTAATTAATTTTTATTATTCTTATGATCATACTCGCGTAATGTGACAATATGCTTATTTTTATTATTTTAACGTTTATTTTTTACCTAAGGCTTCTAGGGCATATTCACACAACCTGACTTAACAAGGCATGTTTTCTAACTGTCCTGAATCACCAGAAAAAGTTTAGGCCAAATCCATGACCCGAAGGTGAGAAGGTCTCCTTGTAAGACCGCGAGTGCGAGAGAGATAGTATTAAAAACTATCTCTATGGATGCACAGCGTATGCATAAACACTCACTTGGCCGAAGCCAATACAAGTATACTTCCAAGAAGCACAAGCTATATATAATATTGCATGTGCTGTCATTTGAGCGAGAAACACGCACGAACACGCACAGAGCGACGCAAGAGCGTGTGTGAAAGAGACATTTACAAGTCGCTGCGTAGACGTTACGTAGACTTGAGCGCCAAGCGCGTAGCAGTAAATGCGCGCCTAAAACTCGGCAACCGCAGCGGATAGCCAGCAGCTGCTAGCACGGATGTCGTAGAAGTACTCTGTCTGTATACAGTCTATATTCCTACAATTATCGCGCTGGTCTCCGCTCGCCCGTACGTAAGCTCGGTTTTCACAGTTTTACCCCTCATGCCTAACGCGACTAAAGAAGTTTCACTTCAAAAATACCTATCTTTCGATTTCATGTTCACGGGTTTTTTTCCCATCCCTAGGACCCCTAGGACAAGTTTCAGGGGTCCGGGCCCCTGGGCAAGCAAAAAAAATTTCACCTTTTTTTCTTAACGAAAATGCATTTTATTTTTAGATTGACACATGACCTAGACCATTTTCCGAATTAATTTCCCGAATGGCACGTCAGGCCATTCTCAGAAATGTTTCCCGTTTCCAGTTCTCGTTTGTTTTTCATATTTCCCATTCCCGTTCGTTTTTCCGATTGTTGTATTTTCTCAATCTGGCGGCGATAATATTTTCTAATATAGAGAGATATAGAAAATATCATGAAAAGAAATAAGCCCGGAAATATGGTTAACCCCGACCTGAAAAAAGTTTGTTTTTGGGTAAAAGATTCTTGGAATAAAATTACACCCGATATGGTTGCAACAGCATTAAAAGCTGGGTATTTAAATAAAAATTATTCTATCACTGATATAACGATAGCAAATCATGAACGATTGGGACCCGTACGTCTAGAAAAATTAAAATCCAGCTATCAATCAATTATATTTAAAGAAATCAAAGAATATGACGTTTTAATTTTAAGCGAGTAAGGCGAATAAGTGAATAAGACGTAGGTGGTTTTTTGCAAAAAAAAATAAGGCTTATCATATTATCGGTAGAACATGATATCTATATACTTAAAATAGATGCCTACATTTCCATATTGCTAATTCACGTTATCATTGTTCGTGTAAATTAAAAGTAGGCTTATTATAAAACTTAGAGAGATAGTATGAGGTAAATTGGGAGAATATGCCATAAATGAGAAAAAAATTTAAATAAAAAAGGTACAATTATGATAAATCAAATCGTAAGCATTGGGTTCTATAAAGGAGACATTCAAGCATCATATAAAAAACTAAATCATTACGTGTTATTAAATTTTAATCTTAAATCATTACTAGTTTTACTTTTTTATAACGAATTCAGCAAATTGGTGTAAAAGTGGCATCCCTTATAAAAATTTTGCGAGATCCTACAGGAAATTTTTGTAAGGGATTTTTCCCAGTTATGCGGAAAAGACACCACCCTGATTGAGGCAAGATACCACTAATATGAATGCATTGAAAAACGATTTTTAGATGCATGTTTATGAATGGAAAATAAATATTCGGCACTTAGAAGTCAATACATAACTAAAGCACATTGTTTTATCTCAAAACACGCAACAAACAAAATACATTAACGGTCAAGTTTTACTGCAACCAACATAACTCAATTTTTATACCCAGGACAGATTCCATGTTCACAAGAAAATTCGTGCATTCACTTTGAAAATTGCTTACATTAAACCCAATCAAATTTTTGTCTTTTTTTACTATAATAATGAGTTTTGCCTTCAATAACTAATTTTTTGATGTGCTATCTTGCCCCAAATACTTATATTTTTTTAAAGTATCATAAATAAAAAAAGCCAATGACTTATGCTTATTCAACGGCACCAAAGCATTCTTCAAGGCAACACGTATTATTAAAAATTAACATTTATACATAGAGTTGAAAATAACGCGAATAATTACACACAGAACTTTACAAAAAAATCGGAGCTAGCGAGACGATCTCCTTTGAAGTTCGAAAATCGACTGATAATAGAAATGAGAAACCGATTATTAAGGGGACATTCCCACTGCAAATAGTAAAAAAAATTACTTTTTAAATATTTTTTTTTTTTAAAACTATGATTTTTATTCATTCCGGACCTTTTGGGTATTGTTTCTTACATATTAAACTACAAAAAAAAAAGTTTTTATGGGATTGAAGACCCATTTTGTTGGCTGTAGACGGAATTTTCTGAAATCCACGTTTCGGCTCTTGGCAGCGATTGAGGAAAAACTACTGGGCCGATCTTTACGTTTGACGTCTCGTTTTAATCGTTATAACTTTCTCTGGAAGACAAACCTCTAAAAAATTGATATTTTCAATTTTTACGATTTTGGCACGAGTTTTTCTTTGAAAAATGCTCTTTAAGGTGGTTATGGGGGTGAATTCACCCCTATAAAAAGAATTAGGGATGATTTTTTTCAACTTTTTAGAGGTTTGTCTTCTAGAGTAGGTTGTAACGATTAAAACGAGGCGTTAAACGTAAAGATCGGACTAGTAGTTTTTTCGCAATCGCAATTTTAACAGGATATTTTTATGATGTTAAAGAACGTTTTAACGTAAAAAAAATGTATCGAATTTTTTTTTCATTTTCAATGGGAATGTCCCCTTAAACGTCAATGTAATCAGATTATCATAGCACATATTCCTATGGACCGTTCATTTATATGTTTTTGCTTATAACTAAAATATAGCGAAATGACACTTCCGTTGCTTTACCTTAGAAACAAAGTAATATAGAAAAATACGTACCATGGTTGACATTGAAAACATGTTAGGAGTTATTCCTCCACCGATAAGTTGAGCTGCTTGGGTACTTGTAGCGGACACTGCAACCCTAGTTCGACCCGTACTTGAAATTGATCCAGGGTGAATATTTGGTTGAGCTATAAAAATACATATCTATAAATAATAAAGGAATTTCAAGATATCCCATGTAAAAAGTTCAAAAGATATAATGACAACAGAAGTTATAAAAATACATATCTATAAATAATGAAGGAATTTCAAGATAGCCCATGTAAAAAGTTCAAAAGATATAATGACAACAGAGTACAGAGTGTCTCTTGTAAAATTTAAAAAAAAAAATTAATTACCGAGATATTACGACTCAAAAAATAGAAATTCATATTTTTGCAATTTCCAAATACCCACAAGTTTTAAAATAATAAAATAAAATATATTTTAGATATGGCATTTCTAAGACATGAACTTGATCTTTAACATCATACTGATATAAAATATAATTCATCATACTAGAGATTTGCTTCCTCATAGAGGAAGCTTTGTGACGGACCGATTTTCGACTTTCATTACTAATACTCGTAGAGTACTTTTACCTATATATTCTTAAACTAGATCGAATTTCTGACACATGTTGGTATGTATGTATGTGTGTTTTTTTTTTTTTTTTCTACTCCACCCCATTCGGACACTCACCGGTATCCGCCGTTAGGCATTGCTTCGGTGAGGCCGGGGTTAGTTGAGCATTTCTGCTCCTTCTGTTAGTCGTTGTTTTCCATACATCCCCCATCCGTCGCATAGTGATATGCGACGATTAGGGGTTCAGGGACTCATCTTTATCTACTTGGTGAACCTCCGATCCTGCACGCTGCCATCGTCGATTGTCGTATCCCCTTTTTTCAGAGCCGTCTGCGTGGTCACACATTGCTGGCATCTCCTCCTGAGTTGGACATCTTCTTTAGAACTCGCTGTCTAGTGCCATCTTGTGAGTGTGGTTCTCGTTTCTACCGCCGATGACAAGTGCCCAATTTGCTCTGTCGGCTACATCTTGTGAGTGTGGTTCTCGCTTCCGGCGCTACGCTGTGAGTCTCCGTGAGTTATTGAACTCCTCCTTTTCTGTTGTCGTCTTGTGAGTGTGGTTCTCGCTTCAGGCGCCATCATGCGCTCCACCAGAGCCTTGGCTCTCGCATCCGGCGCCCTCTTGTGCGTGTGGTTCTCGCTTCCGACTTCATCATGGGAGTGGTGTGCTCCATCTATTGCCAGCCTTGTGAGTCCTCGCCTCGGGCTCCTACTTATGGTTTTCCTATCGCTTCCAGCTCGCACAGTGATCGGGGTTTTTTACCGCTACGGAGGCTGATGACATAGCCCGGGTCTTCTTTTTGAGTGGTACCCGCTCCACCTCAGGCACAGGCTCGACCACACCAGGCGAAAAAACGAACCTCGAAAATTCGTCCGGTGGGGATCGAACCCACGCCCTACGGCGTACCTTGTATCAGC